AATTGATTGGGCTTAACAAGAAATGAACGAACTTTTCTTGATTCAATTCATGGTTTCAGATGAGCAAGACCGCAAGCGAGAGAGAGAAAGAGAGGGCAGAGTCTCTCTCCCTGCCGCCAGCTGTAAGGTTTCTCTTTGGAATTACATATATACCCTGAAATCTGTTTGCTTGAAATGGTAATGGGCTGGGCCGGGTTGGGCTGGCTACGAGTCGATATCTGTAAATGGCCATCTAATTCCAATTTACATACAACCTCCCTACAATTTACGGTACTGTACTTAAGTAGTACAAGAAATAGTAACCTACGTTAACTATACTACCCGCGGCCGCGGGATTCGTGAATTTCTGACTTAGGGAGTCCTTCTCTTCAAGAAAGTATATTTGTAAAAGAAGTGTCCGAATCCTAAAAAAGTAAACAAATCTTTTGAAAACCCTAGTGAATTAAGATGAAAAAAGACTACTTCCTTTATATGTAATGCATCCCATTCGTAAATCACTCACTTAATGCTTTAGTCACTCAAACAGACCTTTATAGTTATCATGGGGGGGAAATATAGATTGTTGACCGTAGAAGTAAAATCTGCTCTATTTGGTGACAAAAAAGGTGGCAGATGCTACGTGAAAGTTTCCACACATAAAGAAAACCAACTCAAAACAAGTAAGATTAACATCAGGACCGAGGAATGGAAACAAAAGTTTGTGTTTGTCGTTCCATCCAATGAAAGCTCTTCCCTTCGTTTCGAAATTTTTAAGGCTGGTACGATTTTTTTATCACCAGACTATTTAGTAGGTGTTGCTGAATACAAATTGGATACGGAAGAAGAGGAAACTGTATATGATACCTATAGGGAATACGATACTGATACTGATACTGATGGTTATCTGTCATGTTCCCATTTTATGGAATGGCCACAAAAAACGGATACTGGATTAGACGAATTATGTGCTCCTGATCATGAGCTTAAGGTCTCGACAAGTCTTAAGATATGGAAAAGGAAGATCATCAAGGGAAAGTTGGATGTAGAAATTGTGATGGAGAAGAATACATCAATAGTAGGTGGCTTTAACTGGAAATGCTTTGGCATGAAATATAAAGATTTTATGATGGAGGATATAAATGGAAGTCCCGGTGGATGGGCGGCATTGATGTGTTCCTACGCATAGATTGAACGCTAGCTAGCCTATTAATTAAGGTATATTTCTTAGTTAGTTTCTCTTGGTAGTTATTATGAAACTTGTGATCTTGCTTATATATAGAGATATTAGTGATGTTTACAGAGTATTACTTTGCTTAGTTACTTTATATAGTACATTTCTTTTTACCTCATTTCTTAACCGTTGCTATTCTTTTCTTCTTTTCGTAATTCCATAGCATGCATTTATTGTTATTATTAGTATGATCATTAGTTCAAATGCGGAACTAAAAGCTTGAAAAGATAATTTGAGAAGTATATAACATGTCCGTGAAGAGAGTGATGTCCAAGTGGAGATAAACATCTTGCGAACTTCTCGCAAGTACAAATACAGTAAGAGTAGAGATCAGAATAGCAAGTGAAAAAAGGAGGGAAGAAGTGCTCCAAGCCAGAGGAAGTGAATCCAATATCAAGGCAGAGGGCATTGAGATGTAATAACAACAACTCGTTAGGCCTCAATCCCAAACGAGTTAAGACTGACTATATGGACTCTCACTGACTACATACTCAATTTGGATTCATCTCAGGTAAGAGGGCACGATATCATAAGGAAAAAAAAAAGATGTTAAATTTTAATTCTTCTGAAGGGACCACAAGAATGGTACTACATGGGAAATTCTAATTTAGGTATAATTTTGCTGTGGTAAGAAGGGCCAACAACTGAGAAGAAAAAGGCTTATTCATAACTGTTATTCCAGATACATAGCATACAAAGAAACACAGATACAGACCACATCAACCAAACTACTATCTCATCAAAAGGTTTCACCAAGATTTATGTACTCACATTGCCAATCCCACAGCTCTGTCTTTCAGTGAGTCATTCGATGGCTTCATACAGACTGATCCTGCTCTTGGTACCCTATATCGTCTCAATTTCAGCTTCTTCTTCCTGGTCAATCTCTTCTCCAGGTCCTTAACTCTTCCAGAGAGACTGGATACAACAGTGAGTTGTTCTTTCCCTGCTTTTATTAGTTTCTCCATCATCTCCCTTAATTTTTCATTCTCTTCTATAAGCTTTTGACTGCTCTCTGAGAATGCATCATTATCAAAGGATACTTGGCTAGCTGTAGGTGATGATGGTGACATTTCCACTCTCTTCCATTCTTTAAGCTCCTTTGCATCCATAACTCGTACTTCATTAGGCGTAGAACCAAAAGAATGGACAGCATCAGCTGAATTACCTTCCACAGTATCACATGTCGATGGATATGTGCTGCGGTCCTCTGCTACACTAAGCTCTTTCTCCCCTAACAGCTGCGTCTCAGTAGTTGCAGCTTCCGATTTTGGAGCAGTCATCACTATACTTTCATCCACTGGTTCCTCGGTCATCGGTGCAGCGTTATCAGCAGCCACTGGTTCTTCCTCTTGCATCTCAAAGTTTTCCTCCAGATGCCTCTGCTCAACCTCCACATTATTCTCTTCGCATTCACTATTGAGTACAGAGACCAAAGCATCACTGCGAGCAGGCAATTCCTCACCTTGCACCTCCATATTTTTCTCCCCAACATTCTGCTTATCCTGAACATAATATTCTTTGACCTCGTCAATGGTAGCAGTAGATAGTTGAGGTTCTGCTGACAGTTCAGAGGGTTTTTTTGAATCAAGGATTTCAATGTCTCTCTCTACTGCATTTTGCATTTTCTCCTGCAGTACTTCAGTTGTTTCCAATTCCTCCATGTTGGTGACATCTGTAGACTGCTTCATGGTGATTGCTTCTTCCTGTGAGTATATTGGAAACACATCTGACCCAGCGCCGCATTGTCCAAGTTCCTCGCCATCCTCCTCCATACCAACCTTATCATCAACATCAGAGATCTTCCCTTCTTCATTTAATGATCTGAGATCTTCTTTCTCTTGTTCTGGATCGTCAACTCGTACTGGTTTATCTGTTTCCAGAACTTGTGAATTTTTGTCTTGTCCATTGCTGCTGTGCATGTTCATTGGCCCCAAAACAACTAATGTTTCACCTAATGCTTCCAAGTGGTGGTGCTCTCGACTCTCTGTATCAGAGAATTTTTCTTCAGGAATATGAGCAGTAAGGTCTCCATTGTCATGTTGGAGGACCTCGTCTTTTCTAATCTCAGTAGACCCTTGAACACTAGTCTCTTCATCAAGGACTCCTCGATGGAGCTCTTCCAATTCATCAACACCTTCACCCTTCCCCTTCAAACCATAACCTCTGACCCCCTTCCCCTTCAAACCACAACCTCTGAACTCTAAACCAGAATTTTCTTTTAGTTCTACAGAAAATGGAGTAGGATTTGGCAAAGATTGTTCAGCTTTGTCATGCTCTTCTGATTTCTCAACTACTACCGCATTTTCATCAGGTGACTTATCATTCAAATTTTCCTCAGATTCAGAAAGTGATTCTGTTTCCTCATCCACCATCTCCACTGCACCACCACTTGAAAAGTTCTCCATCACCTCATCAATGTTCTCATTTTCTTCTTTACCGACCACTTCCTCTACATTGCCTATGTGATGAGAGTTGGCCAGTGTCTCTGCCACACAAAGAGGCTGCTCTTGACAGGGCTCCTTTGCATTTAACTTTATTCCTTCATCCCCCTTCGCTAAATCATCATTTTGTTCAAACTTTGGCACCTCCTGGCCTCCCTGCATGGAAATGTTATCTTCCACCGTCCTGCATGCATCCCTGCTGGATTGAGCAGTTAAAGCATGTTCACTTTCTGCCAGTTGCTTCTTACAGTTCAGCAGATCCAGCTTCTCCTGCAGGCTAACAAGTTCCTTTGCTACAGATTTTCTATATTCCCTAACAGTTGGATGCAACCCCTAGAAAAGAATATTAAAATTAGGATATTAGGTGATTTAGTTACTTGAAAAGAAAATAAAGAAAAAAGGATTTATCACCAAAAACTTAATCAAATCACAAATGAAAACAGTAAGCCAAAAATATACGAAAACCATGACACAATATAAAATCATGAAGTAAAGAAGCAATATAATGAAGTTGAGTTTGCATAATCAATCACAGTTTTCATCTTAGCTAAGTTTCGAAGTAAGGAAAACAAACTAGAGATTCACAGCTTTTGCTATCCTAACTGTCCACTGAAATGGATATAGAAGAAGATAGATCACATTTTGCGTGATGGTTTGTGTAAGTTATGTCATCCACATACCTGAATAGCGTCAAGCTTCAGCAGAAGACCCATTATGGCTTCTGTGACAATAGTCATCTGTTTGTTGTCAACTACATTGTCAGCTGAGCTCTCCAAAGCCTGAATACGGTTTTTAAGCTTAGCCATCTGCTCCTTTGCTTTGATTTCTTCAGAGGCTCCCATCTCCGCACATTGAACCCTCGGTATGCCGACTGAATCACAGTAGCCGCCTTATCATCAGACAGCTTAGTCCTATCTGGTTTCATGTCCAAAACTACACCCGCATTTCCCTTCGCTGCTTCTCTGGCCTCACCACTCTGATGTCCTTGATTGTTGGCATGAGCTTCTGCTGCTACTCCATCAGGTTGATGGTTGATCTCATTGGCTACTTTACTAGTATCACCCTCACTGCTTTGGCCCATTGCCTGCCCTTTCAGATCAGGGAAAACCGTATAATGATCTTGAAGTTTATCTTCTTTGCTAATCCCTTGTGCGACCTCAACGACTTTTCTGTTTCCTTTACTTGGTTCCACTTCTATGCTTTTCTCCGGCGTACCTGTTGTGGATGATTTGCCAAGATGAACATTCTCCATCTCATTTGGTAAGATGCGAGGTTTGGAGCTGTCACTTGGCGATTCTACTAATTTCCCCTTCCTGCCAGGAGGACTAGGAGACCTAGAACTGCCGTTACTTCTTTTTTTTCCTAGGCAGGGGATCAACTCTTAGACAAACAGGGGGCAGCTTGGATGACTTTGTAGGAGAAGACGACTGCTTTTTGCCACCATCTTCAGTGGTTTTCTTCCCTTTAGCATCAACATCATGCCGCTGGGAAGCATCTTCCAGTTTTCCATCCAAGACGTTCTCAATCTGCTCCACTTGCCTTACTGGAATAGTTTTCGTAACAGAATCTTTATTCAGTTCCTTTCTGCAGATTTCACTTCCACTATTCGCTTCATTTTCTCTAGAATTGCTTCTCTTGTCTTCAACATCATATAACCTTGGTGTGGTAGATTTTAAGGGGGAGGTTTGCTCCTGCTCAACATCAATCTCCTTGCTGACTTTGCCATCTGTTTCCTCAGGTTTGTAAGGCATCCATATCATCGGAAATGGAAACTGTTTCTTGTTTACATCATCGTCATGTTGTTTTCTGAGTAGATCTCCTCGTTGCTTTGGTAATTCTGAGTCATTCCCATGATAAGGAGGCCATGCTTTCCAGACATTTGGTTGTTCGAAAGATCTGCAATCACCTAATGTCTTCACATCTTCCACCTCATCCTGTTTATCTTCAAATCCATTAGGCTTCATGCTTGCGCTATTCTTCATATAATCAGGTTTCATCCACACAACCGGATAAGGACAATTCTTGAACCCAAAAGGAACCAAGGACTCGTTGCTTTGGTTTTTCTTACCCTGGTCCTGTTCTTCTATTTTAACATTGCTCCCTCCTTTCGTATAACATGGATGATTTGGACAGCCACAGCAGTGATGACCACTTCCCATATTCTTTTCATATTCGTACCGAGGCTGCTCCATAGTAAAATGGGGAGAAACATAATTAGCAGCATACATCACCGGATATGCTGGATTGCTACAGTCGCTGTAGGGAGGCAGTGGAAGGTAGGGATAAGGAGGACCCAATGCACACTGGCTCGGGGAATTGTTATGGATACAGCAACTGTGACACCGCGGCGGATAAGGATGCTCATAGTTACCACCACAAGGCCAGGATTCATAAGCTACAGAAGATCTAGCTGGATCAATGTTCAGATGATGACGATTGGGTTCAAACTGGGGATAATAAGGAGGATTGTGAGGTACTCGGTTTCTTTGATAAGGATGAGTGTCGATGAACCCGTACATGGGATACATCCTCTATATTTAGGAAAAAATACTGGTAGCTTGGTACAAATGCAGGTCCAAATTTAAGCTACTCTTTCAAGTTTATGTGGTAACCTATTGGAAAAGAAGAATACTAAGACTTTAGCGGATCCTCAAAAAAGAAGGAAAAGAATTAAAGGAATACAAGCAAAGGATATTTAAAAAAACAGCTTTGCATAAAATTAGCAGTTGTGGGAAAGATCTAAAGCCAAGCTTAATCATCTCCATCACCTCTAGCAAGACAACCTAAGACTATGAAACTATTACAGAGCCTTTCTTTATATTAGTAGCATTTTCCTTCTTCTGTTACTAAAAGATGTAATGTCCTAAGATTGTTCCAAACCATGCATACTGTTTTAAAGAGCATTTACTTGCATTCATATTTTCCCTCATCCGTTACCAAAACAGTCTATATTGTTTGAACAATCTTTGGGCACCACATAGTTTTTTAAGTGATACACCCAAGAAATTGTACAACTACAAGTTCAAGACATGCAAAAGAAATGCAAAAGAAAACGCATTTAGGCACAATATTTAAACACCCTTTAATGCAAATTCCAACACCCCTTTTAATTTCTTTGATTGGAAGATGGCAGAACTGTTTTATTCAATCATTATGCTCAAAACAGTACATCTAATCCAAATCATCATCAAAATAAAAGGAATCCATCTTCAGACCTCTAGGCCAAATAACAAGGCAGTGTGTCCTAATTATCAAACTACCCCCCCCCCCCCCCGGTCTCAAAAAGATACGTAATATACTTCGAACTATAATGGTTAGCGCATCTAACAACTTACTAACATTCGGCCCTTTAGCTTTGATGTTAAAAAGTTAAAAAAATCCATTTGTCAAAATTTTTGTTTTAAAACATAATTTACATATACAATGCACTATAATCACATCAGATAAACATGAAAGTATCTGAAAAGTGGCAGCGAAATAACAGAAATGAACAAAGCATTCCTGGCCATATATAACTGAGAGAATACCCAAAACACCATTACAATCAAAAAGAGGAAAATGCAACCATCATTTCAGCATATGAATACACAACCAAATAAATAAATAAAGATTAAAAAGCTAAACTTACTGTTAAGAAAGAAGAAATGCTCCGTCCAATCGGTTCCACAAATCCAGATGACTCGGTTTCCGGTACAAATCGATCCACCAACCCAACAAACCCAACTTCTTAAGTGCTCGAACTTTGCTTCTCTCTTTGTAACTGCTCCGAAAATCAAATGTTCTTTCTCTGATCAGTTGCTTCGCCATTTTTCTATTTATATATTTATATTTATATTTATACTCTTATGAAATGACTTGGGAAATTCGAGAAGTTCTACGGTTTTCGAGATGTTTCGCGCGCAATCGTTGGTTAATTAAGATGTCTCGATTTTTCTTCCTTTCTTGCCACGTAGTCATTTCTGACAATAATTTTCATGGTAAGGGATTGGATATGATGGGACACAGGTTATCTCCATGATCTCCTAAGGTAATCATATGCCACGTTGATTTTAGATGAGCTGACAGTCTGTTATTGGTTATTGGATTCTGAATTGTTTGTAACCGTTGAATTTATGAACTTTCTAGATTTATTAGATTATTTGACTTGCATAATCGTGAGTTTCCATTTGCCTCTAGATATTTCCATCGTTTGCTGACTTTTACTCTTTTAATTTTAAAACTTTTTGTGGTGTTATTTTTATTTTTTGCACTTTTATATAACTAACAACGTCTTAACAGGTAGGCCTTACAAAAAGAAAAAAGAAAAATTTTCAGCTGAAGAATAAATGTGCAAAATTTAACAAATACAGACTTCAGACGTTTAGATAATAAATATTGAACAAAAACTTGCTTGAAATTGAAGTTAAAGAAAAAGTTTGATCATTGAATTATTGTTACTCAATTAAAGAACCTCAATTTCCTTATTGCAATGGGAGTCTGGATCAAAAACATGACATACTCCTCCTAAAATACATGTATTAGCTATATTCTTATTTCTTTCATCTTATTTTTCCTTATAAGTGCAGGGGTGGATTTATAGGTAAATATATATGGTCTCTCCGTCAAACTAGATATTTTATGTATATATTTTTTAAAATTAGTTTAATATTATTTGATGGCGCTCATGCTACAAAGAAACTAAATGATATATTTGGTTGAATGCTAAGTTATTTACCTAGAGCAGTAGGGTTCAAATCTCAATTAATATTTTTTTCTCCTTTCTTTAGTGATGCACCCATGTTTTAAAAATCCTAAATCCACCCGGTCTAAGTGGATAAACTTGGGTAGGAAAAAGATAAGTCAATAGTCCAATGAGAATTAGACCTTGCATTTGCAAGATAACATTCTTTCTTTACTTCCTTTTCTTTTTCTAAATTATTGTGGGGTTTTATGTGTTTCGCAAATTGCTTTCAGTAATATATTTTTTACAGATCTGAAGATGCTTCATGGCTGATATTTTTATTAATAACGGTGGTACTAGGGGTGGACACCTCGACTAATGCTGCATTGAACACCTGTTATATTTTACGAGTAAATTATTAGGTTATTTAATATGGTAAGACTTAAATATACAAAATAAATTTACCTAAATTTTTATTATCTTAATTGAGATTTGAACCATAGTCTCCCAATCCATCTGTGACTGATAAGTCACACATTTTGAATGCTGCATTTTAGCTATCTTCTTGGAACAACATAATCTAATGACTTTATTTTCTTGTGGAATTTTTGGTCATTAATATTAAAACGAAAAGAGGGCAGGACTACCAATCAAATATTGAAAACTAAATAATATTATTTCACATATTAATACATATATAAAGATACAAATCTTTAGACATGGCTTTTAATAGAAGAACTATAACCAGTTTGATCATCATAATATTTGGACCATAGCATAACCCCTCCATACTTAGCAGAACCCTTTATAGCTGGAAGCACTTGAGATGTTAAATCACTCACTGGAATAAATCCACTTCCAGCTGCATCTGCAGCAGCTGGCAATCCAAGAAATATTTTCTTAGCAGGAATTGATGAAATCCACTGATTCCATGAATCTTGAAAGCTAGTAAAATTTCCTGAATTATACTGACATGGAGGATTGTTATAGAATTGTACCCAAACATAGTCAAAAAGACCTGTTTTTAATGCCCCTCCAACACAGGCATCAGGAAATGGACATTGTGGTGCTGCAGTTAAGTACACTTTCTTGCCTATCTTGCTATATCTTGCTAGATACTTAGCAAGATCACCCCAATATGGTCCTTCTCCACTCTCTAAATCAAAGTCAATTCCATCCAAAATTGCATTGCCGAGAGGGCGTGAAGTCGATTTTCCACCCAAGAAGTTGTTCCAGAGATATGTAGCAACTTGACTAGCATCAGCAGATGAGGCAATTGAATATGCTCCTGCCCCTCCCCCGATCGATAACATTACTTTGATTCCTTTAGATTGGCAAGATTTTATATCAGAACTCACGTTAACGCATCCATTTGGAGTGTATGGATCGCAATGGCCAGCTAGATTGATCATTGCGTTTCGACCACTGCCAAACGATGAGAGAAATGCTATGTTGACGAAATTATAGTTTCCAGTAGCACAAGTCTCAGCTAGTGTCCCTTCGTTGCCATTCTGTCCCCAATAGATAGCAATTCCACCAGCTTCAGACCTCGCCACTAGTGCTAAAATCAACAATATTGCGACATAAGCTAACAAAAATGAAGTCTTGATTGCCATGTTTTAATTGGATTTTAATGTGATCTGAAGTTTGTTCTTGCTAGAACACAGCAAAGCTACATGCTTCTTATAGGGAAAGAATTGAATTTGATTGGTTGTGAAAAGTTGTCCATTGTACCATTGTAGACAAAACAGAAGCCCTGTTACTGTTATTTTGTGCTTCTGTGTGGCGTGGAAGTTGTTCAGTTCAATATTGACTGATAGACAATAGAAAACTGAAAGCAAATAACCAAACGCTACCAAAGTTCTAAAGATAATTAACTTATTCACTACCACTAATTAGTCTGTTTATGAGAGATTGATATCGTTTTGGGTTAATCTTTTTTTTTTTGGTTCAACACTTACAATTTAAAACATTTCTCTGTTCTTATCTTTAGATATACATATGTTACCTGATGGTGAACCTTATTCCTCTTCACCCAAGGAAAGTAATGTCCATAGGTAAATTCAAAATTTCAATCAATTAGTTTATCACAAAATAAATGTAGACGGGGTTTAGACATGTAATGGGTGTTAGACCATAACTCACAAAAATAAACTTCTTATATTGTGCATTAGACCGTAACTCATAAAATGTTAACTCAATTGCAGGAATTCAACAAGGAATTCGAGGATCGAGCAGTTGTTCAGAAGTTACAGAGAACTCGAGAAGTCCAGCTATGGAATTGTAAAGAAGAAGAAGTGTAAAGAGAGAAAGAGAGAGAGATTTAGAGAGAAATGTAATAGTTTTGATTATGATTCGTAACTATGGATTTCAATGCTATATAAGAATTGAGAGTTGACTACTGTTTATTACAGCTGAAGGAATCTTTCTCTAACTGCCTAACTAACTTAAGCTGACCCCTAACTAACTTTTAACTACCAAGCTGACGTGGCATTAACTGGATTGTTCTTGAGCTTACTGTGTATTTTGTATATCAATACCCCCTCCTGCAGAAGATCCTTGACCACAAGGATCAAAGTGAGGGAACCTAATCTTCAAGGCATTAAAGAACTCACATGTAATACTATCAGATGGTAACCTTGCCCATTTAACCAAAACCTGAGCAACGGCCTTATTTCCCTTCTTTATCGTCCTTCTCTGCAGAATAGATTCTGGCTCAGAGCAATAAGGACTAGCAATGTCATTGGTAGGGGATAAGTAACTTGTGTAGGTAACTCATAGTATTTTTTCAGGAGAGAAACATGCACAATGGGTGTATTTTAACTGATGGTGGGAATAAGAGGGTGTATGCCACATGACCTACTTTCTTAGCAATTTGGATGGGTCCATAATATTTGGAAGCCAATTTGTGGAAAGGCTATGATGTAATGGTCACTTGTCTGTAAGGTTAATCTCCCACTTCAAAATTCCTGTCACTTCTATGATTGTCAACTTGTTGTTTCATCCTGAGTTGAGCTCTCAATAGGTGATACTGTAATAATTGGAGCTTCATCTCCCTATTAAGTAAGGTGTTATCAACCTCAGTGGAAGCTGATTCTCCTGGTAAATAGGGCAAGTGAAGTGGTGGTGACCTGCCATAAAGTGTCTCATAAGGTGTAGTTTTTGTGGTAATGTGGAAAAAGGTGTTATACCAATACTCAGCCATGTGTAAATATGAATACCAATTTGTGGCTTCTTCAGAGCAGAAACATCTTAGATATGTCTCTAAGTACCTATTTAGGACCTTAGTTTGGCCATCTGATTGAGGATGATAAGTTGTCGAGGTGTTTAATTGAACTCCCTGAATTGCAAATAACTCCTGCCAAAATGTGCTTAAAAATACTGCATCTTTGTCACTCATTATGGAATACGGTAGTCCATGTAGTTTATATATGACCGCCATGAATACCTTAGCCACAGACTGAGCAGTATAGGGATGTTTCAAAAGGATAAAATGACCATATTTACTCAATCTATCCACTATGACTAAGATGACTTCATATCCATGGAATTTAGTAAGGCCATCTATAAAATCCATACTAATTTGAGACCAAACTACCTCAGGAATAGGGAGTAGTTGCAAAAGGTCAAGGTAGGCTGCCAAATTAGCTTTATTTCTCTGGCAAATATCACACCCTTGAACAAAGAGCTTGACATCTTCTCTGATCTCCTTCCAGTAGAATAATGACAGAATCATCTTAAGTGTTGCTTCTATGTTAGAGTGACCACCTTGAGGGGTAGAATGATATAATATTCCTTCCAAGCGGAGGGTTCTTTCCAACTACTAGCTTCCCCCTTCCTTCTCAACTGATTGTGAGTCCATGTAAATTGACTGTGACTTGCTGGATTGGTCTGCAATTGTTCAATGAGGGTCTTCAAATCAACATTTGCATTCCAACTGTCAAAGATAGCCCGCAACAGCTTTGAACTAGTCATGAAGATTACTAATAAGAATAACTCAGCTCCAGGTACCCTAGATAGGGCATCTGCTACTTTGTTCTCCACCCCTCTCTTGTATTCAATAACATAATCAAAAGGCATCAACCTTGTTAGTCGCATAAGTTGAGAATTTGTGTGTAGTTTCTGCTTCATTAGGAATTTGAGGGCCCTCTGATCAGTTCTTATAATAAATTTCTGACCAAGTAGGTACTGGGACCATTTTGTGACAGCATAAACAATATCTAAAAGTTCTCTATCATAAACTGAAAGGGCAGCATATCTGGGAGAAAGTACTTTGCTGATAAAAGTAATAGGATGTCCATGTTGCATTAAAATAACCCTTATACTATGTCTACTTGCATTAGTTTCAACAATAAAGGTCTTGTTAGCATCAGGCAATGCCAAAGCTGGAGCCTGAATCAATGCAGTCTCCAGTTGTTCAAAGGCTTCTGAAGCAGCATGTGACCATTTGAAATTATCTTTCTTGAGAATGTCAGTTAGTGGCTTGCTAATGGTACCAAGCCCTTTGATAAACCTCTTATAATAACCAACTAGCCCAAGGAATCCTCTAAGTTATTTAACATTAGTAGATAAGGGCCACTCCTTCACAACTTCTACCTTTTGAGGATCTGTTGAAACCCCTTCAGCAGTAATAAAATACACCAAATCTATCTTTTGAACCCCAAAGAAACATTTTCTCTGCTTAGCAAATAGTTAGTGCTTCTTCATTTCTCCAAAAACAGAATTCAAACGTAACAGATGGTCATCCATATTGCTTCTATATATCAGCATGTCATCAAAAAAGACTAAGACATACTTCCTAAAGAACTTCTAGAAAATTGAGTTCATTAATCTTTGAAAAGTTGATGGGGCATTTGACAACCCAAAGGGCATTACTAAATACTCATAATGACCAGCATGAGTTCTAAAAGTAGTCTTTGATATATCCTCAACTGTTATACTTAGTTGATGATAACCAGACCTCAAGTCTATCTTTGAGAAGATTTTGGATCCTCCTAGTTCATCCAGTAGATCTTCTACAATAGGAATAGGAAATTTATTTTTTATTGTCTGCTTCTTCAAATTTATATAATCGACACATGGCCTCCAAGTACCATCTTTCTTTCCAACAAAAACTACAGGTGCAGCAAAAAAGGCTGCTACTTGGCTGGATAATACCTTGATCTAACATCTGTTTTACTAAAATTTCAATAACATCCTTCTTGACAGAGGGATACCTATATGGTCTTTTGTTTATAGGTTCAGTTCCATCTTGAAGGATAATCCTATGATCAAACACTCCTCTAGATGGTGGCAATTATGTAGGTTATTTGAACAACTCCCTAAACTCATTTAACAAGTTCAGTAGTCTAGGATCTTGTTCAAATATCTATTTAGTTTCCAAAGAATAGCATTGTACTTCATTACACATAGCATGCGTTACTTGAATCGTGCATAATTCAGATTGTTTACCTGAAATTATAGCCAACTTTCTAGCTCCAGGAGTCAGAATTTGTTTTCCCGATCCTGTAAGTACATGCTTCCTTCCTTTGTAATAGAACTCAATGGCGAGTGTTCTGAAGTTCATTTTGATATCCCCCAATGTTAATAACCATTGAACTCCTAGTACCACCCCGCAAGATCCCAAGGGCAGTAGCAAGAACTCAATAGAAAATTCAGCACCCTGTAGAAGCCAAGAGATTTTGCAAACTTTATCCACATTCAACATGTTTCCATTGGTTGCTGCTACTATCTGTGGTGTAGTTGCTATCACATGGCATTTTAATCTCTCCACTAACTCGGGGTCCATAAAATTGTGAGAGCTTCCTGTATCCACTAAGATGTGCAATGGTTTTTAGAATGATACCCATTCACTCTTAGTGTCCTGTACCCCAAGGATCCATTCAGAGCATGAATGGAAATTCCCACCTGCTCCATTGGTTGTGAAAAATCCATCTCTTGCTCTTCTAATTCATTCACTGATTCCTCTAAAAATAGCTCTTCTTCTGTTTTTTCTAATTCAAGTAAGTATATATGCTTCAAATTCTTACATTTATGTCTCACTACATATTTTTCATTACAAAAGTAGTATAAACCTTTAGCCCCTTTTTCATTCATCTCGTCTAGACTCAGTCCTTCTGTTCAATCGCTTAGAAGTTCCAGCATTACCTTGGTTAGGAGTTGACAATAATGGTCTGCTATTATTTCTTTGATCCATGATCATTCTGGGAACACTGGTTGGTGCATTGTTTACTGAAGAAGGTTGTCTAATAGCAGCTAAATAAGCCTATTGCATTCTAGCCGTTTTGTACACCTGGGATAAGGTAGTAGGGTTGGTGAGTTTTACAACAATATTCAACTCATGTTTCAGTCCACCAAGAAAACAACTGATGACATTTTCTTATGACAGACTAACTCTGGTGAGATTCCTTTCAAAAATAGCTTGGTACTCCTTGACAATACCCGTTTGTATGATCTTCTTGATCTCTTCCATAGGATCATCAAAGTCGACTCCAAATCTTTCCAACAATACCATCACATACTCAGTCCATGTAGCCGGTAAAAAATATTGCCTATATCTCATAAATGCTAAATGTCATTGTATAGCTTTCACCTTCTAACTGCATTGCAGCCACCTCCACCCTTTCTTCAGCAGGAACCTTTTTCATGGAGAAGAATTGCTCAATTTTGAACAACCATGATTTCAGATCTTCCCCATTAAATCTCAAGAATTCCATCCTCGACCACCTCGAGAAATTGGAGTTGTGATGGTTATAACTGGCAGGACTCTTTTCTCTTGGTGACCTTTCATCAGATGTTCACCTTCATGTTGTATCGGAGTTTTATCCCTTTGATTTTCTCCAGAATGAGAAGAATAGTCTAGTCCAAACGTTTCAGATTTGAGACCTCTCCAGCTAAAGCCCCATCATCTATGATTAATCTCTGCATCAATTCACGTAAATTTCCTAGTTCTTCTGTCGATGTGTCATTTGATCGAACACCTTTCGCCATGACTGCCGAGGATAATAAGCTCTGATACCACTGTTAACTCAATTGCAGGAATTCAACAAGGAATTCGAGGATCGACCAGCTGTTCAGGAGTTACAGAGAACTCGAGAAGTCTAGCTATGGAATTGTAAAGAGGAAGAAGTGTAAAGAGATAAAGAGAGAGAGAGAGAGAGAGATGTAATAGTTCTGATTATGATTTGTAACTATGAATTGCAATGCTATATAAAAACTGAGAGTTGACTATTGTTTCTTACAATTGAAGGAATCTTTCTCTAACTGCATAACTAACTTCAGCTGACCCCTAACTAACTTTTAATTACCAAGCTGACGTGGCATTGAACTGGATTGCTCTTTAGCTTACTGTGTATTTTGTACATCATAAAAATAGAATTTTCTAATTATTACTTATTAAAATTATTTTGTAACTATTGAATATTGGCTCCTGAACGGCTGGACTTGGAGATTGGTTTATAAATTTAGGGCATACAATAGAGCTCTTGTGAGTGTTATTTCGTATTTTTTTAAAGAAAAGATGTCCAAATTCGGAATAAAATAAAAGACGACAACCCCAAAAAATGATGGAGAGATTATATAGTACTCCTTACCAGTACTTAAAAAGGGTAGACGGAATGGAAGCCACACTTCTTTTTTTTATTTCCATGTAAATACAATAACAATAACTATTCCTCAGTCCAAACAAGTTGGGGTTGGCGATACTTAAATAACTTCTCAAAAATAATAAAATTATGAGTCATACTTTCTTTTCTTATTTTAAACGTCAATTTAATTTAATGGAAAAATTATACAGTATAACTGCTTTAAAAAATAATAACTGACAAAATATATAATTTTTGTATATTAGTATATAATATTAGGAGTGGCAAGTGGGCCGGGTCGAGCCCTAAATGGTCCTTAAATAAACAGGCTAAACTGTCCCGGACTAAATGTGCTTTTTGCAAGAATCGGGCCCATGAACTCATGATCTCGGGCTAAATGGGCCGGGCTCGCGATCCCAACGGGCCCAACGACTAAGCAATAATTATTTTTAAAAATTAAATAAAAATTAGAGACAAAAAGATGTTAAAAAATTATCTAAGGCAATGCCTTGTAAATATTATAGAATTGTGACCTAATTTTTTAATTCAAATTTAATGACAAAAATATTGTAAAAAGTTATTCAAAGTAATGCCTTGTAATTTTATTATAGCAATAAAAAATATGGCAATATATTTCTTAGTCTTCCTCCCCCCTATGGAATGAGCACAATTGTAAACAATTTTTTCACTATTTTTTTTTGATAAAGTAAACAATTGTAGCAAGTATATAAGAAAATTAGAGAGAGATTTTGATAGATTGATATTGATTTTGTAAGAAAATGAAAGAATGAGGGGATATTTATAGTAGAAAATAGGAAAAAGTGTAATAATAAAAAATTTGGGGTTAAAACTAAGTTTGGGGGAAAGGGGGTAAATGACTATTTTTTAAACCCCCAACAACTCTTTTTTTCAAAAGCCAAAAAAAAATATCCGTTGGGCCCGTTTGGCCCTCCAAGGGACGGGAACCGGCCCACGAGCCCGGATCGAGCCCACCTCTAGCGGGCCTAACGGTCCCAGCCTGTTTAGCCTGCGGGCCCGGGTTCGGTCCGACCCACTTGCCACCCTTATATAATATACATATAATATTTATATGTATACATATTTTTTAAATTATTTGACTAACAAATGTAATTATTTTTGGCTGACTGGCCAAATTTGTAACTTGCCCAAGTTTAAATGCCTAAAACTAAATACTCCTAGTAACATAATAAAGAAAAATTGGCACCGTGTGACAACATATAACATGAATTGGTAAATTTTTAGCCTTAGTTACGTTTGGCAAAGACAACCCAAAAAAATTGGCACTGTATAGCCAAATTCTAGAAAACCCTACTTCCCTATTTATTCTCTCGCATGACTCAACTACATCTGATTTCTGCACGAGAAAAAGAGCATGAAATGCTAACCTCCTTCGACGACTGTAATTTCAAACTCCGCCTCGTCACTGTTTTGCTATGAACTTGAGATTCGTTATTTAGAAGACAAATTAGATTGCAAACAAACAAAATATAATTTTTTTTTGTTATTAAAAAAATGCAGATATATACTTACACATATATGCACATGTATCATACATTTGGGGTCAATACTTTTTGATGGGTGGATTCATCGTCATTTTTTTCTTCGCTTTTTTCTTTTGTTTTTTGATTGAAAAATAGTTCTAATTCTCATCTTGTATATTAATGTATTTCTACCATCTATATTCATGTATATTCATAAGAAATTATGTGTTATACATTGAGCTATACATAGAAAAAAAAATTGATATATATTTTGATATACAAAAAACAATTGATATACATTTTGATATTCACATAAAATAAAAATAAAATTGTAATATACATTTTGGTATACATATTATTTGATGTGTTATACATTGTGATATACAAACAATAAAATTATTTTTTGTTATACACTTGGATATGCATTGACATAGAGTCAACAATAAATTTTAAACAATTATATTTATAATTTCATATTTTAGATATACAATAAAATTTTAATATACACAAATAGGTAAAATAAATTATGGTATTCATCTTGATATACATATTATTGTTGTGATATATATTTATTGGCTATCTGGTGCCAATATCTATAACTAGGACTTTTTAGTGCTAATTATGTGGGTAAGTTGTTACACCATGCCAAAATCCCCATGATAAAACAGATGAAAATCTGAATTTGAATGGGCATAAACACGGGAGAAATTCAAAAATAGCCAGATTTACAAGTGGTCATTCAAAAATAGCCAGATTTACAAGTGGTCATTCAAAAATAGCCACAGTTTCAAAAACCATCGAAATTTAGCCACTTTTTATGTAAAGATAAATCTAAACGAAAACACTGTTCAAAATCCGGAAAATACTCCAGCATAATATACCGGAGCCAGCAAAGTATAACAGTTCAGCATAATATGTTGTAAGTTCATACACAGGTGCACCGAACTCCAGTATATTATGCTGGACCGATCTCTGTTACAGCAAAATAGTAGTTATTTTTCAATGACTTAGCAAACGCCGGCTATTTTTGAATGATCAATCCGGACTGGCTAGCCCGTGCTGTTTGGAGAGGCCTTAGGAGTTGGGTCCAAATTAGTATCGATGCGAACCCGTCCGAACTAAGTAAAAACCCTTGACCCGCTCCAAATCAGTGTTAGGGTTTCAGAAAGCGCACTACGTTCCCAGCTAGAAGCACTTGCTCGATCACACAGTTGGAGAATCAAAAATGGGAAAAGCAAAGAAAGCCCCCAAATTCGCGGTGATGAAGAAAATGGTTACTCACAAAGCTATCAAACAGTGAGTTATTGATTCCCTCTTTTGATTTTCTCCACTAGCCCTTCGACTTTCTTGTGTATTTGATTTTCAATATTCGAATTTCAATGGTGTTCTGTTTCAGGTACAAAGAGGACGTTTTGAACCCTAATAAGAAAGATTTGACTAAAGAAAAGCTCCCCAAAAACGTGTAAGTTTCTAATTCTGACCTAAAGAAATTACTTGACAAAAGAAATTCTTCACAAGATAAAACACAGAATTATGTTATGATTTCAGGCCTTACGTTTCGTCTGCGCTTTTCTTCAAGTACAACACAGCTCTGGGACCGCCTTATCGAGTTCTGGTCGATACTAACTTTATCAATTTCTCCATTCAGAATAAAGTGAGTGACCTTTTGTTGGCTTTGATAAATTAAAAAATTATTATTGCTGCTCGGTGTTGGTGTCCTTTGGCTATAGAAAAGAGAAGTTATGGTGAAAAGGGGAGCATGATATATATTATCTCGGCTTTTACAGTTTTTCACTCACCGTCGTTTAAGCCCATGTTATCTCATTTTATCGACCTGCCTATGCTTGACAGCCAGTATTCAATTGAGTATCATAAAGTTTTTTATATTCAAATTTTACAAGTGATGGAAGTTCTAGCTTAGCTTTCTGTGGTGCTAGGAAGACTTCGCTAGTAACAACCATCATCCAATTGGAGAACGTTCTTCCAACTCCCCACCTAGAATGAGAAAGAGCAAAAAACGTTCTCTTCTCTTGTTTTTCGTTGCCCTCCCCTCCCTTAATTTTCAATTAGATGATAGTGGTTATTAGCAAACAATGTGGGTCATATATAGTTTTTGTTTGGTCTTTGTCTAATGAATTCATTTGCCTTGATATATGTTAATTCTGATTGCTGTAACTGATCGAGCTGTTCTCTTATGTTTTAGTTGGATTTGGAGAAAGGAATGATGGATTGTTTGTATGCCAAATGTAAGTTCTCTCTATCCTATACAGTTTCTCTTGGCTATAAGCCTTGTATTCGTGATCTAGTCTTCCCTCAGTAGGATACTTTTGTGATCAAAGTAACAAAAGTAAATCTATGCACTTGTTTTCAGGGTAGGATGATATAGTATAATTCCAAGTAAAATTTGGAAATCAAATAGCAATTAACAGATGAATATGATCAATAACTGTGTTTTCAAATGTGGTAGTTTGTTTAGTGCATGCATTTAAATTTTTCGTGAAGCAAGTACTTCGAGTTACAACCTTTATGAGTTCACCGCAATATCCCAAAGACGTGAAGCTTTATATTAACTTTTACAGTGATTTTAATTTCTTTGAATATGTTTTCCTTCCACAGGTACTCCGTGTATAACAGACTGTGTTATGGCTGAGCTGGAGAAGCTGGGTCAGAAGTACCGTGTTGCTCTTAGGTACTTTCTTGTTTCATATTATCTTTTAATTCTATGCCACTTGTTAAAATGAAGGAAACTGGACGATATTCATGTGAAGCACGGCTTGGATATAAATTGTTACAGCTCAATACCATATTCAGCTTTTCTGATATCGTAGCCTAGCATGTTTAATTTGATGGTTACCTGTTAAACGTGGTTTTGGAACTATGCTTGAAATATGAATTGGGAACTCAGTCATGATGATTAGAAGAAAAACTTGACATTATTGACCTATGTAGACACTAAACAACTTCTGAAATCGGGGAAAATGGACAATAAACTAGTTATGTCTCTCTATCTGTGTGTTTCTCTTAGTTTTTTATTTTAAGCTTTCTAGGCTAGCCATCCATGTCATGTGTGCATTGAAACTACCTTCCAGAGTCTGTTTTTGATAGCAATAGCGGGATAGCATGGTCGTAAATTGAGTCAGTAAATTCCATGTTATTAGGAGCATTGATGGAACCAGCACGGGAGATTTTAGATGGTATTATTGGATTTATATTTCTATATTCTTTTGGAAGTTCTGTTGCAAAGAATATATCTGTGTCTCCCTTTTGTTTTTAATGTTTTATATTTCTACGAAAAATATCTTTCAGCATCAGTAAAATTTGTGGCAAAACCAGAGGGCCTTCGGTTGTTATCCCTATGTTAATGATGTTCTTATTCTCTCTTTTTTTTCTTCCTTTTTTATGAATAGAATTGCAAAAGATCCCCGATTTGAAAGGCTTCCCTGCACTCACAAAGGAACATATGCTGATGATTGTATTGTCGAGAGAGTTACTCAAGTATGATCTTAATCCGTCATGTATAAATGTTCTCTGAATGTATTAGTTGTGGTTGTCGTGTCGTGTTGAAGCAAATTTGTTTATGATCTTTACTACGTGTGTGGATGATTTTGTTCCTCTACAGCACAAGTGCTATATTGTCGCAACATGTGATCGAGATTTGAAGCGTAGAATACGCAAGGTATGACATATTAAGCTGGTATTCCTGTTCTTTTCCCTACCTCCTCCTCATCTTTTCTACTGCTAACTATTCACTTATACTGTTAACTGTTGGATGGTCAGGTCCCTGGTGTACCAATCATGTACATTACTCAACATAAATACTCCATTGAAAGGTTGCCTGAAGCAACAATCGGTGGAGGTAAAGCCTATACACTTGTTTTAGCTGCAAAAACCTTCTACTCAAAATATCAAGGAAAAATTCTTTTCCACCTGAATTGGTTTCTCATCTGATTCTTGCAATTCAATTAAGAGAACGAAGGATAATTACTTGAGTTCTTTCTCCTTATCCTTCTTATTTCCTGCTAATTTATCTGCTAATGTCTATTGTTTTTACTTATACAAAACGTCCACTGATGCAAAATTAAATACGTTGCATCGTTGTTTGCAGCTCCAAGATATTGAGTACGTGTTTCGAGCAGTCAAACAATGGAATTTCCAAGACCTTGGATAGTGGTTCGAATTCCCATCACGGCTGTCGCTGCATAGATTACCAGATCTCGGTGCGTTGTGCAACGAAAAATGCTGAAGTATCAGTCGAATCTCAATTTTGTACCCGGTGGATTGTTATGTGTTCCTCAATGATAAAGAAATATGTTCGATTTTGTTTAGTTAGTATCTCTAGGTGCTGCCCCCGTGTGTCTTAATTAAACAGCCAATAGCGGTGTCCTAAGGCATTCCAAACAGAACTATAATCCATGCCTCCTTTAATGTGTAAGGGGGTGTTATCAACCTTGTCTGATTTGGCCATCTTTCCTTTGCCACAATTTGTGCTCACAACAAACTCTCTTGCTCTGATGAATCGGATTAAGCTGCCTCTGGTTACGACTTAATTGCAGCTTTTTTGTGAATTTTATTTCTTGGTTTAAAGGACAAGAAAAAACATATACTCCACCCCCAAGAACAATGCTACTTTTTGCGTAGTCAAACGATCATTACCTAACACTCGATTTTTTATGATTTGGAGTGAAATTTAACCTATGATTATAACTTAGTTACACAATTTATTAGATCGCCGATTAATACTTACCAAGAGATTTATACATAATTGCTTGATAAATGATCTAACCTATAGAATTTAGATTCACTTCCAACAAAACTAGAACGGGAGTAATGCAATCGATAGCAACATATATGATCCAAATGGCCTCTCACAGATCTGATGGATTTTTGCAAATGTTCAGCTGAACTCAGTTACATCTTAGTATACACCAACGTAACTATTATCTTAACAGAAAGGTATAGAGAATTTTCTTTTAAGTTACAACACATACAATCGCTGAAGCTCAGCGTGTAACTGTCTCCTAAATGAACGAGTAGAGAGGGAATCTTGGAGAGAAAATTAGGTATGCAAAAAAAAAAAGAAAAAATGTAGAAAAGAAACACTACCATACATGCACATGCTTGGCAACAATATCAGAAGGATGCATCTATGCTCAATACCCTCTCATACTCAACATAAACCTATAGCATCCCTCTGAACAAAAATGAAAAAATGGTGGGGATTTTGAAAAAATAATATTAACCAAATTAGACTACTTAACTTTGGACAGACTACTGTAGGCTAGTGCTACCTCATAACTGTTGCTGTTGTCGTCGTTGTGTTTGGATGTTCCAACTCCTCGGGTGGAGGCTTGACATATTTTCCTAATGCTTTTTGATGAGTTCGTTTCTTAATCCTCGAGATTTTATCCTTACTTTGTTGCCTCCTTTTCTCCTTCTCTTTGTTTCTCAAATTTCTCTCTTTCTCATAGATACCTTGCCAAAACACTTCACCAGTTGACGGCCACAACCACCTTCTTTTTGGGTGGTCGGTATCCATCTCCTCAGCCAGCTCCTCGTCCATGCTCTTAAGAGTGTTAAGTTGAAACCATTTCACCCACATTTTGCCTTTACGGCTTTTTAGTCTATGTTGTTCTTGCATTAAGCCCGTCTGTGGATCCACGTACATCATTCTTCTTGCACTATGGTATGCCCAAACATTTACAAGCATCTCAAGGACTCTAGAATAACAATGTTTGTCCTGAAAAATGTCAGAAAATTTTGATGGTTACAAGCTAAGTCCATAACAATGTCAACAATAATATTATTTTCTTCTGGGCACCAAGTTTTTTTCTTCCTTTTTTTTTTTGGGTGGCTCCTCCACTGTTCCTTGAGCCGAGGGTCTATCGGAAACCTCTCTATCTCAATAAGGTAGGAGTAAGGTATGCGTGCACACTATCCTCCCCAGACCCCATTTATGGGATTACACGGGGTTTCTTCTTGTTGTTGTTCTTCTCTATTTCCTAAAGACTTCACATAACTCCCTCCTTTAGCTCAATCTGCTAGTTGTTTAATAACCAGGTCTCAGAAACAGGAGCTTAGTGAGCAAATTCCATAGCATGTGCAAATGCATGAATAAAAGATGGTAAAGATGCATTTTGTTCACATTTTAATGTTGTGTGCCTTCCAAATTAGGAACACTACCTTGGTCAAACTCAGATAACATCGGCCACTTCGATGGTGATCTTCGTAAAATTGTGAGTCGAGTGCATCAACAAACATCCTGCGAAGAAAGATGACATCTTTAACAGAACTTTCACTAAGGAAAATAAACCAGGACCTCAATCTCAGGATTCAACTAAGAAAAAGCGTTCAAACCTTGAAAACATTACAAACTCTAGGAAGGACTTGGTAGGCAAAGCCCAAGAGTGCATGACAGACCATGTGTCTCCATCCATAGGCATGGGAGGAAGAGAGCTCAAATTCTGTTTTAAGCCGTACATCTTTTTTAGCGCCTCAGAGAAAGCAAACCTTCAATAGATCACGTGAAAGACATTAGGTAATACATCACGAACAGATATCAAACATAGGAAGTGTTTATTTGAAGCAAGGATGTTGCGAATCATGACAGTAAATTTAATAAATGTAGGGAGTCTTACTGGCAATTTCCAGCGTTAAGAGCATCACAAAATGACCAGAAATCTTGTCTAAGCGGGTTCCTTGGGTCCGCATCCATACAAGCCCAAAAATAGAGTGTGTCACCATGCCTTCGCGCTTCAATAGCATCAACTAGTGACTTTTCAGCAGTGTTGGACAACAATTGCTGTTTATGCAACAATGTTAGTGTAAATTGTAAATCATAAAAACCAATGGGTACAGTAATGCAACTTGCACTAAAAGCATCAATTCACTTAATTCACTTGCCAAGCTAGACCTATCAACACCAAAAATATTCAAACAAACTTGCTGGTAAGTTACTTGTCCCATTCAAGGCAGAAGTGAAGAACCTCTGGCCACTTAAATCTAGACAAGATTCAGCTGAAGCAGTAAATTTGAGAGCGCAAATTAGCAGTCCTTTACTTGATGAGTCACATTGTTTGGCCGAGACAATACACGACAAGTTACCTCCTAGGATAGCAACTACCTTCCAAAGCCCACATTGATCAGCACACACACACACACCCCACTCAAAGAAAAAAAAACTATCAAGATTTTCTATGCTGTAAAACATTTAGATTTTATAATTGGATGGACCTCTTGGTTTCTAGTTTATTCAGCCAGAAAATTGAGGATTTAAAACGGATTCATTGTGGCCTATTATGGTGATTGGCCTTGAAATTTCTTATTTTAATAGGATATTTGTGGCTACGCATTATCTCAAAGGGAATAATAACACGGAACTTATGCATTTTGCTAAAGAAAGTTATGTTCAGACTTGAGCCTTTGTTGATACTTTACTGGATTTTCAACATTTCCATAAACTTATAACAGAAATGATTATGTTTGTACTTCATCAAAATGACTCACAGCCATGTTTATAGTTATGCATGAGTTAATACTAGAAGATTTCAAAATTCTTTTTCCATATTCTGGTAATAGAATTTAACTATTTGATCATAATATATTAAGTCAAATTTCCTTGGGAAGAGTTGGAATTTATTTTACAACTTCGTACTTTGGAGACAACCATGTGTGGACCACCTTAAGCCCTTACTTCCCATCTGGGAAGGTTAGGTTTCTATGCACAACCTAACTTGAAGAAATCATACTCCACTTAGACCCATGAGGCATTGGTGATGATATAGATGCATATATTGTAACTATTTTTAAGAAAATGGACCTCGGGCGTAACTCAACCACATAAACTAGCTAAAGAGGTGAGGATTTTCCAAGACCATATAAGGAATGTAGGAGACAACAGTTCATTCTCTCAACCAATGCGGGAAATTCTTAAACTATGATTTAGATGCATACATCTGGACCTTTGTTTTTCTTCAAGACTTTTACTTGAATGAATTTAAATTTGAACAGTCATATGTGATTTCGACTCTAGGTCACTCCAGGTATAGACTACCATTTTCAATAGGTTTGAAATTATTTTTAGGATGTTGGATAGCTTATTTAATAAATATGTTGAGTGCAGAGGTTGAAGCATCTGAAATCAAATTTATACGAGTTATTCCTAATAAAGACTGCAGGGTATGGGTCGTGACAGGTGAACCAACATTCACATAGTTACTTGACATCAAGAAGGTAAATGGAGATAGTTGTCACCAAAACTAGTCTGTCAAAAAGGCAATTCATTAGAGCTGAAAAAGCGAGAGAAATCTAGACAGTCCTGCCCCCATACAGTGAAAGCATGCTTAACACAACCTATAGCATAAAAGGTATTTGAGCCGCGTCTAAACTAAATTGGACAAGGGCCATACTCTCTCTTCTGTGGATATGCTATCATGTAGCAAAAGAACAAGTTGCCTAAAGTACAAACGAAAATGGTGACATCCATGAATAATATATACTCCATTTGTTTCAATTTATGTGACACACTTTTCTTATTAGTCTGTTTCAAAAAGAATAACACATTTCTATATTTGGAAACAATTTAACTTTAAAGTATCATTTTTTACCCATTTTACCCTTAATGAAAAGTTTTTATAGCCACACAAATGTTATAGAATGTTTAAGACCACAAGTTTCAAAAATCTTTTTCTTAAACTTTATGCCAAGTCAAACTACGTCATAAATTGAAACGGCGGGAGTACCTGTCTTGCTGATGCTCTCCAAGATTGAAACCCTATCCAGGCATTTTTGTGTATCCTATCAATCCTGTTAGCAATAGCGAAAAAGGCTCCATATTCACCTAGAACGTCTCTATAGTAAGGGTTATTTAGAAGTGGAAGCCGAGAAGGACCATCAATATCATCATGACCGGATCGTCTCCCTTTGGTAGACTACAATGAGCCAATTCAGATACACATCAGACTGGGGAGTGACGTTTTATTATCCACCAGCATCAAAAAGATTATGAATCGTACTATCAAAAGCTTTGACAGTAAATCACATTGAAAGATCATAACTAAATATATCGACACTAAATGAAAATAAATAGTACTTCACCAATTATAGCTAGTACCATGTCATTTTGCAAATTAAGTTATATTTTCTCTCTCGCTGTCAGGTTGGCATATTTCAATGGAGAAATAAAAGGGCATTGATAAGCCAAAGGAAACACCCCTCCTATAGCAAATTGTCAATTCAACTTTTGAAAAGATTTCCCACAGAGAAATTGATAAAAAGAAAAGGAAAAGAGAAAACCACCAAATATATAAAGCAATTTTGTGACACGCTTGGAAAAAGTGATTTGTTTAAGCTTAAAACATACAAACACTATTGCAAAGCTTCAATTCCTATTTCTTTCAGTAGCACAAAATTTCAGTTTATTTTACATATGGGTTCATGGTATGACTTAAGAAAATGAATAAAACTAAGGAGAGAACAAATAACTTTATGCTACCAGACATAACCTGCCAAGCAAGCCAAAGAGAAATAGCAACCAATTTGAAATCAAGATGACTCACAAGTCCAAGACCACGATAAAGTGTTGTACTATGCAAGAAGGGCCAGGTCCCTTCGCCGAAATAAGGTTCATAAATGCACAATGGTTGACCAGTTCTTTCAAGCTCCCCATCATCCCTTTCACGCAAATCGTTCCTGGACCGATCAGCCCTTTTGGCATTTCTGTATACTTCTTCCCATGTTCCCCGAGGTTGATCGGTTCTGTCCTTCAACTGCATCGAATTCAAATGCAAGCAGATAAAAGTCACATTAATCTTCGGAATGTGCCAATTACAAAACAACTCCTTTTGCTTTGGTGGTAGAAGTAATGACTACGTCACAAAGTCGAGTATTCAAGGGAGATCAAACGGAAGAAGTAAGGGAAACAACAGCAAGTCCAAGAATCAATTACCTCTTGGTCTTCTCTTCGCTTTCTCACATTGGCTATCTCAGTATTTCTGTGGTCCTCCCAAATGCCGTACAAAAAGTTCTCATTCTTCTCCACCACAGCTGCAGAACCCTCTCTTTGAGTCGGATTCCATTGCCTTTCAATCTTACTCAAATAACTTGAGGTCTTCAAAGTCTGGTTCTGAGAATATTTTGTTTCGATCGCTTCAAAAAGATGCCACTGCCATTCTGCTTTTGGTTTTTCAGGAATTTCAGTAACAGCCTTGGGATAAGCAACTTCGGATGGAAATCGGAGAATGTTCTCCAATAATAAAGCATACCCTTCCACACTTTCTGAAACCATAAGGTTCCTTGCAGTATGTTGTCCAACAGAAGCAGCATTGTGGGTTAGAACTAATAGTTCACCATTTGATACGAGTTGCAACATGATCTGTGTTAAAACGTTGACATTTTCTTTTGGAAAAAGATAGCCATTCACACTATCATTGACCTAATAAGAGTGTAAAAATAGTCAGTCCCTTGCTTTAAAAGTCAAAACCACCCTACATCGACCTAATAAGTAAAACACTTAATTCCTTTCTTTAAATGTCAATTATTATTATACATTTAAGTCCGTGAAGACAAATTATTCAGTGCATGAGATATGTTTGACCAAATGCTTTGTGCACTGGGTGTGTTAAACTAGGCCAAAGAAAAGCTATAATTGTCTTAAAACATATCAAGTACTAACCATTAATGAGTTAAGATACGTACATATTTCTTTATCATTGGTAGATCTGGAGCCACTATAGGTTTCCCAAAGCACATTGCCTTTAGCAAAGTGATTGGAAAAGATTGCTCCTCACGGAAAGATGCATATATGACAAGGTCAGCCACACTCAAAGTTTTATCTGTATCTTCGGCAGGAGCAACGTGCTTCACCATTCCCTTGGGATATCTCAAGTTCCGCGCAATAGCCTATGGAAATCATACTGCCAAGTTACTACCCGTACATATGAGAAGAACCAAAAAGAAAAAAAAAATTACAGACATTCAAATTGCTAAAGTATATACCAAGAAAAGAAAAAAAGATCCTACCTCCACAGCCACACTGTAATTGGCATTTGAACCCCCAGCCAGTACAACAATCTTGAAACGGGAGTTTGAATTGCCATCATTTGTTAATTCAGGAAAAACCGGTAATAAAGCCTGTAAAACAAGGGCTTGTTCTAGCCAGAGGCCTTTATATAGAAGCTGACTCCCCACAACCACAATAACAAAGTCTTCAGGTGCATAGTCCATCTTAGCTCGTAAATTATCATTGGATACATCCATCGACATATCAACTTCCCATGCTTCTTTAGGAGAACCCGGAATAACAAAGTAGTTTCCAGCATCACAGACTGAATAAGCTATCTAAATAATGTATGACTCATAGTTAGCGCACAGATAACACTGATTCCTCACTAACAAGAACCAAAGTATGAGAATGCGGAAGGGAGTTTGAATAACAGCCGTTTCAGAAGGAGAATAATTTTAATAGTTGATGATGAGGACATACAAATTGTGTTTGCTTTGGCAGAAATTAAGGATATCTAAATATTTCATGGATTACATGTTATTTCCTTCTTGGGAAGGCAATATAATGTGTGAGATGACCTCTACCATGACAACTCTATTGTGCATTACAGAATACCAACACATAAAATGAGTGCAAATCATTTTTCACCCAGAATTTTCAGTAGTTAGACATGCATGGAAGCTAGACTCTTGTTGCACACCTGTACTTAAGAGACAAAGGAGAGAACTAAGTTTGATTAAAGAGCAATACCGGTAGGATATAGTTTGGGAAGACAACAACATTGGCACGAGTAAAGATTTTTCTCCAGTTGTCCACAACATTGTTCTGCCCACTTGAAATATACTGCTCCAACCGAGAAGCAAGTGTAACTTCATTAATGGTCCATACCAGAGGTACATTCTTGAAAGGCTCCTGCATTACACTGTCACAAATATCATTAGAAAAAGGCACTGGAAAAGAGTGCGATAAGAGAAAGGAAAATGATGCAAATTAGACTTCTTATCACCATAGTTAAGAAAGTGCAACATAAATACAAATGCTTTGAAAATAAGATACGCAAGAAATGGGCAATACTTAATAGAATGTGATCATTTTAAGTGACAAAGTTATCTAACAAGACTCTCTCTGAGCCTATATAACATGTGAGATAGATTGACCAAAAATTCAATCTAAAACCAAACCTGTCTGGAACTCAAAAAATTATGAGATCTTCACAAGAAGACGTAATCTTTTTTTAAAAAACTCAAAACAAGGAAGACATAATACTATATATTATTAAACACCTATACCGTTTCTAAAATGCACGGTTGTACAGTCTAGTATATGTTCACACCATTAATAGGATCTGGCCTAAAATATATTAGAAAATTGCACCAGATATGCACCACATAAAACCAAAATCCAGATTAGATCATTTTCTACCTAAAGAAAAGGGAGCTGAAGATCATCAGCCTACTAAATTAAAACACCCACGAAATCACTCCTGAAGAGCCCCAACTAGGAAATCATCAGCAATTCTTTCAACCAGAACCAGAACATAACTAACTTGAATTCATTGAGTTTTATAGCATCTCCTGTGTGTATCTTTGGATATATCAAACAATTATGAGTTGAATTGGTTATGTAGATATTTATCAGGTAAGGCAGCAATTCGCATACTCCATGAAGAATGAAAGGAAGAAAATGACAAAAGTATTAACGAACAAGAGAGTGAACGAAGATATCTGATACAGAAAAGAAAAAGAAGTCCTTACCAAGACAAGACATGGACAGCTTCAAGAGAGTTCACCAGTATGCCGTCATAGCTACATAGAGTATTGTAAAATAATCAGAAAGTACGTCACTCCGATTTTTCGGTAATAGATGGATTCTGGGTGGTGAAATATTTAAATTTCTAAGGCACAGGAAACTACAACCCCTAACATGCCATGTAGTCTAAAAATATATCTAATGAAGAGTAGATAAAATTACGTCTATTCCAGAAGCCTAGTAAAGGTATACAACAAGTAGAACAATGATTCTTGAGCTACAGCCAAAAAGTTTTCTAACATCAATAATCATCAACATTAATCAAAATTTATGCAATTATTAGAACAAAATAGAAAGATACATACTTTAGCCAATCTACAGAGATCTTTGTATGTCCATTGGTGTTCATGATGATGACTGGAACTCCTACGTCTTTCCAAATGGACCTCACTGGACCATCTTCAAGTGAGAGCACCTGCACATTTTTGGAAGGTCATAAGTGGCAAAAGAAATAACCATCTCATTCAAGATAAGGTGCAAACTTGATTTATCCCATAACCTCTGATACTTCTAACCTAGCAGGATATGCCAGCTGTAGTTGTAGAGACCAAGCAACATTCATGCCTTCTTTGTGCTAGTAAAAATTATTAAGGAAACTAAACAGTAATTGTTTCGAGAATACATTATTGACATGAACTTATTTACAGGTCCTGTTGGATTGCACAAACAATCTTTCACGGTGCTATCCATAAGTTGAACACTTTCAGGTTGCCCATTCTTAAACCACCAAGTGCGCAAAAGCTGAAATTCCAGCATCTTTATACAATAAGCTAAGGTGATGTTAGTTCTTGACTTCAGTAGTCACTAGTACTATGAGCAGGAGCGGAGCTACCCTTGATTGACTCTCCTTACATTGTGTAGATAGGTCAAAAAAAATTCTTTTATGTATTCATACTACATGTTATATGTTGAATCCCCTTGGCTGCTTTGCATGTTTACTTCTTTATATTTTGAATCCCTTAGTGAAAATTCCGCTCCGGCGCTGACATCCCTAATAGTGATAACACAATTAGGGATGTCAGATGCTTTCTTCCTCTTGATAGTGATAACATACTGACTCTGAGTTGGCTAAAGACATCCCATTGATTACCAGTACTTACGAAGTCTAAATAAAGAGGAAGAAAGTATTTGACATCCCTAATCGTGTTATCACTATCATTAATCTCAGAGGAAAACATCCAAAACCTTGTTTAACTTTCTGATCAATTCCAAAACCTAGTTTAACTACATAGCAGCTAGCATTGCTTACATTTTTATGAGTCTTCAGGTACTAAGCAAAACACACAAAAATTACCTCAATTTCGTAACCAATCTCCCGTAATGCAGCTGCAACATTAGCCATCATTATTTGATATGGATCAACCAACAAATTAGCAAATACCTATATATGCAGCCAACAGAATGAATCAGAAACTACTTCAAAGGAACAAAAACATACAGTTAAAGTAACAAAATTCTGAAATTATGACTTAACCACAATCAAGATTTACTTTAAATTAGTAAGAATTGAACTGGAGTAATGCTTACCAAAGCCAGCTTAGGTTTTCTATAACCAAATCTCAGTACAGTTCTTGAAGCAAAAGTTCCATTGGCCTCAACAGCCTCATCGCGAAATTTAGCGAAAAGCTTCAAAGGCTCAAACTTGATATCTTCCCCAAAATCCAAAGCCCCCAACTCTTTCAAGAAAGCTAAATCCACTACTCCACTATCTTGAGAACTCAGATTCCCTGATTTTTCCATTAAAGAAGCAGGCAAGAGCATCTGGAAGAGAACAACAAAGAAGAAAAATACAGCCACAGTACAAATCCATTGCAAATAATTGATCTTGTTAACAAACAAGAATCTTGCAAATATCGATCTGACTGCTCTTTGACCAAATGCATTACTCCTCCCACCAGTTGCTGATGCAGAACGAAGCAAGCTTTGATCTTTCTTCAAAGAAATCCCATTTTCAAGAGAACCCATTTACAGTCCCATCAAAATAATCACAAAAAAATCTTATATGCAGCACCAACTCATAGAAGCAAAAAGCAACTAAAGAAAGAACCTTTCGGAAATTCAAGAACAGAGCTATCCACTTCTCCTAGTCGTATTTGGAAGAGCTTAAAAAGAATATTTCTTGTGATGTCAAAAGAAGAAATAGCAGGAGTGTCTTTGTTTTCTACCACTAAAGAAATCAAGAAGATGCCTGTGAGTTTTTCTCTTCTTCTTTTTTTCTCTTTCTTGAGTTAAAGGCAGCTTACATCACATTAAATATAAAAAATAAAAATCTGCATATATTAAGTAATTTTTATATGAAAAAGGAAAGAGAATATGGCTAATTGTTGATGCAAGAAAGAACAGAGCAGAGGATGCAATAAGAGATTAAGATAGAGCCCATGCGGCTGCTCTGCTTACGTGGCATTGGTCGTCGTCGTTAGTCAACCGTAATATACACAATCTACTAAATACACGCAGATTGTAATAGCACTAACTACAATGATGGTACACAAAATATTTGAATTTTCGAACAAAAGCTTAACAGATTGTAAGTATCTAAGTTGCTCAATTCAAATACTCCATATAAAAAAACTTAATTATTTTTCGTTGCTTAAAAGACTAATTACATATAATTTTACACTAAAAGTATACATTGGTAATATTAAAATAGAGAAAAAATAGTTTGTTATAGCCATTACATTATAACTTTTTTGTATGTTGCACCTGTAAAATTTCGCTGGATCGTTGTTGTTGTTGCTGCAATTATTTGCATAACCTAAATCTTTTTTTGGTACATCCATTTGGTTCAAAAAAATGTTGTGTGAAGTTAATGGATTATTATGATGGATATGATGCAAGTAATTTTTTACAAATTGAGTATAATATTTTACATATTTTTAAAGTATACAGATTATTGTAGAAATTTAGAAATCTTATTCGATAAAATTAGGAGTTAAGTTTCTTAATGGAGTAATAGAAAATATTACACAATTAAATTACTTAACCAATTACAAGTAATCTTCTATACTCTAGAGGAGAATATGTGAGTCAATAACCTAGAGGAAAGTGAAGGACTGAAGGTATTTAATTTATTAGAAGCAGTCAAACTTCACTGTGTACTACTTTCTCACGTGATTTTTTAGATTTTTTTGTAGTCCAAAATGTTTAATTTATTCAAATATCACAAAGGAAATAACTTTTTTTTTGTCAAAATTAACCTAAAAATAAAGAACCTAGAAGTATTTATTGTATTTCAATGAACAAATTAAGGTTAATATGATTATTTTTACTGTTAATTAATATTAAAAGGTAAATTTTTTTTTTATAAATAAAAATAACTAAAAATATCAATTAAAATGAATCAGAGATAATACTATTATTATTGGATATCATTTTAAATTAATTTGGGGTAGATTGATTTGCAGAAGTGGGAAATGAAAAACTTTTGGACAAAAGAGCTGTCCTAGACGAGAAATTGAAAAAGAAACGATAATTTAGATTTGTCGAGAAGGCTAGTAGGCGTGAGGGAGAATTTAGTGCGATATCAGATCCGCTGCCTAGTGGTGAGGGTTTGTTTGTCTGTAAAGTGAAATTGAAGCTTGGGTCTATAGACTAAAATACCCTTCTTGTGAACGAGTGTAATAATTCACAATTTGGCAACAGAATCAGTGTTTTCATACTGCTTGAATGAAATCAAATTTTCCTTTACGAGGAAGTAATTAGGACTGTATTTTTTCCTTTTTTCTTTTAACGAATTATGGTAATTCTTGGAGAAATTTACAATTACCTATTTACAGAAAACGTTATTCTTATTTCTCAACTAGAAAATTTCTTAAAGTGGTGAAATGAGGAGGTGAAAATTGCAGGATGCGCATAACATAATGATTATTGACAAAATATTTTCCAGCTTATTTTATTAAAAAAACATTGGCTTGATTGAATTTAGTGAGATTAGATCCCTAGAAATTAGAATATGACCAATTGGCCAATGAGTCTGATATTAATGTGGCTCATGCAGTCTTGAATCTTGAGTACACGTGGCGAAAGATAGGAGGAGTCGGTGAGAGGTGCCTCCTAAAAATGTTTAAACTCAAACTTTAACTAATACTTCATCCGTTTACTTTTAGTTGTCGAAATTTGACTTTGTACTTCCTTTAAAAAAAAAAAACATTTATTTTATAATTTTACTCATAATAATAATAGTATTTTCAAAAGTCTTGAAAAATAATTTAGAGAATGAGTAGTTAATTATAATGATAAAACTGGAAAAAAAATTATCTTTTTTATGACTTAATATAGTGGACAAATAAAATCGAGTGAAAGGAGTACAATAATAAATAAGGAGAAAAATAATAAGATAGTCGAACTTCATGTGCAAGTTGAGTATAAATAAAATTTGTTAAACTTAGATTTGATAAGATAAACAAAGGAAGATGTTAAGGGGTCGTCTGGTAGGATGCGTCAGATATAAAATAATGCATGTATTAACTTTGTGTATTAATAATATTTTGTTTGGTATACTTTTTGAACATATGCATTAATTATGCAAACATTAGTTATACATCATATTTGGTATTATCATGTGCATAACTAATGCATGAGAAACCATGGTATTAACGATGCAATGAGTTTTAATACATGCATTAGTTTAGTTAAAGATAAAATTGTCTTTCAAAATTCATGCTTGATTAAAATATGCTATTATATTAATGCAAGTTTGACTTTGATGTAAAGTTTGATACTGAAATTGTTCTTACTATTTATATCTATACTCTGCCAATTTCTTCATTGTAAATTTATAAATATGCACTCTACTACTACTACTACGTAATGGAGTGCATTTGTAATCAACTCATTTTCCTTTTATTTTCTTAATTCAAACTTTCTTTGCCTAATAATTTAAAAAAGTGAAAAATAAAATTATATCCCTATTAGATAAATAAATACTTAGTATATTTTTTTATATAAATATATATTCAGTTCTATACTACAATATAGGTAGACAAATCAAATAATTTTTTAAACCTTTTTTCATATAAAAATATTCCTCAACATATGTTTCTTTTAAAAGGATAAAGTGATGGACTGGTTTTGAGGGTATTTTTGTAAACAAACAATTCTTTTAGAAATTGTGCAATACTTTAATACATCAAACCAAACAATGGATAATAAATATGTCAGCATAACTAATGCAAGCATAACTAATACCAACGTTACTAAATTCTAATTAATACACCATATTCAACATTATTCTTATGCACCCTACCAAACGACCCCTAAGTTTGATATCTAATACGGTTAAGGGTCATATCTGTCCATGTACTCTTTAAAAAGGGTTATATTTGTCCTTCGTTATACTTTTTAGATATATTTATCCTTATCGTCATACTTTAGGATCATATTTGCCCATATACTCTTCAAAAGAGTTATATTTGTCATTCGTTATACCTTTTTGACATATTTATCCTTACAATTATACTTTAGGATTGTCACGACCCAAAATCTGTCAGGCAAGCCAACAATACATACTTAGCTTAATTACCCATTTTAATGGATTTAAAATCAAAATTTCTTTAATGAAATAATAAAAATAAAACTCATAGAGTAAATGATAAATATTTTTAGCAACTAAATTTCTAAACAACTCACAACCATTCCCAAAACCCGGTGTCACAAGTGCATGAGCATTTACTAGGGAATTAAAATTTAAAATACATCATCTGTCCAGAATATAAATTAGACAGGAAATTATAATATCTCTGAATGAGACTCTGTTGGATGCGGATCGTAATACAGAATGCAGCTCACCTATGTTCCCGCAACTATTAACCACACATCTGCACCACAAGGCCGCTAGACATATATGTACCTGCACAATAAAATGTGCAGCAAGTGTTGCATGAGTACAAAAACAACGTGTACCTAGTAAGTATCAAGCCTAATCTCAAAGAGGTAGAGACGAGATGGCCGACTATGACACTCACTATGGGTCAATAATATTAAATAATCATAAAAATAAAAATATTTATATCAACGTGATTCACAAAGTTAACAATAATTTTATTGAACCAACAGAAGTAATTAAATTTCTTCAATTCTAATAAATTTCTAATTTATCAATTAGCCTCATTTACAAGAATAACAATAATTTTCTTAATAAGCAGAGATAATTAATTCTTTAGATTTTCAATAATTTCCAATTTATCAATCAAATTCCTTTAAATGCAATAATTTCTAATCTATTAATTAAATCCTTCAATTTCAATAAAAAATCCAATTTATCAAATAGCTTTACAAGCTGCAATAAACTGTCCAAGTATCGTGTAATTATTATTATTATTAAGCACGATTTCTACCGAGGTCGTACGGCCCGGTCCAGAGTTTCGTGTACACTGGCGAGGGACGTGCGGCACGATCCATAGATGCATCTATCCTATCGAGGCGTTCGGCCCGCTCCACAAGAAAATAGGACATTTTCTTATGTACCTCCGAAAGAAGTGTATATTTATTATAAGATAAATTCGGGAGGAAGAACAATTTCTCTTAATAATTAAT